GCACACACACACACACACACACACACACGCACACACACCATTAGAACAGGGCTGCAGCTCAGAAGCTGGGCATTTTTCAGCATGACACACACACACACACACACACACGCACGCACGCACGCACGCACGCACGCACGCACACACACCATTAGAACAGGGCTGCAGCTCAGAAGCTGGGCACTTTTCAGCATGCCTGAGACCTTGGGTTCCAATCCAAGCACCACAAAGGATTAAAAAAAAAATTCCCTTTGCTCATACAATAGAGATTTGCCCCTCAGCCAGTATACCTCGCCTTCCAGGAAACATCTAATTGAGTCTGCTATAATCTTAGTTGCCAACTTGACTATATCTAAAATCAGCCAAAACCCAACAAACGGGCCTATCTGTGAGGTTTTTCCTGATTGGCTCATTTGAGACCAGAAGGCCCACCCTAAACGCTGGTCCACACCTTCCGGCGGTGGTGGCCCACAGAAAAGGACATGGACAAAGGCAGCTTTTGCTCACCGCCTGCTTGCCCTCACTCTCATCGCAAGGTCATCTATCCTGGTGCTGAGACGTTCCTTCACTGGTCTTAGGACCTATATCTTCAGGATTCCACAGTAGACTGAGGACCAGCAGCTCTCTAGGGATCCTCCAGGCCCCCAGCACCAGATTGGGAGTGCTGAGACACCCCGTGTTGGGGATCTGAATGACTACCAGATCCTCGGTCTTTCCATCATGCGACAGCCATTGTTGGACGAACCCAGACCAAGCCTGTAAGCAACCCTACTAAGTTCTCCAGACTCTTTGTATAGATAAGCATTCTGTATATAGATAGGCAAGTCTGTTCTTTTAGAGAACACTATATAGCCCAATTTTAAGCCGACAGAGCCCCTTTGCAAGGTCATACACATGCTGGCCACCTCCAGGATACTCTGCTAACTTTGTGACTCCCCCAGCTCAGTCTGGTCTTGAACTTCCCACCCTCTTATCCAACCCCTTTGAGTAGGCTTTTGAAGCCTATGTTGATGTCTTTGTTTGTTTGTTTGTTTGTTTTTTCCAGACAGGTCTCTGTGTAGCTTTGGAACCTATCCTGGAACTCACTCTGTAGACCAGGCTGGCCTCAAACTCACAGAGATCCGCCTGCCCCTGCCTCCCGAGTGCTGGGATTAAAGTTGTGCCCCACCACTGCCCGGCGAGTTGTCATCGTTTTTAACATTTATTTATTTTTTGGGGGAAGGAGTTGGCACAAGCATGCCATGGCCTTCAAGTGAAGGTCAGAGAACAATTTGTTGGACTCCAGTCTCTGCTTCTACCAGGTGAGTTCCAGAGATTAAACTCGGGTCATCAGGCTTGGTGGCAAGCACCTTTATTCACTGAGCCATCATTGACAGCCCCAGACCTATTTTGTTTGTTTATTAAGTTTTGTTTGGTGACAGAATCTCATGTAGCCCAGGCTAGCCTCCACTGAGGGCAATCTTGAATCCCTAATCCTGCCTCTACCTCCTGAGTGTTGGGATTAGAAGCAAGTATCACCACACCCCCCATTTATGTGGTGCTAGGGATGAAACAGGATTCTGTGCATCCTGGACAATTGGGCTGCATATTCAGCTGTCTTCAATGGTTTAAGCTCTTTTTTTTTTTTTTTTTGCTTAAGTAAAAAAATGCACAGGTATTGAGTTAATCAAAGTGTATGCATGTGTACCATGCGCAAGCAGACACACACACAAGCCAGAAGATCGTGTCAGATCTCCTGGAACTGGAGTCACAGGTGGTTGTGAGGTACCTGACCGGGGTGCTGGGAACCGAACCCTACTCCTCTGCAGAACCGTGATAGCTCCTCACTTCGGAACCATCTCTCCAGCCCTGTGTGGGCGCTTCCTCGTGACCTCAGCTCCTGTGCATCAGAACCCCAAGGCCCCGGCCGAGATGGGGGGAAAGGAATTGGCCTGACATGCCCACACTCTAACTGTGCCGCAGAAACTAAGGTCTTAGAAGGCAGCGTCTGCTCTGCCCGCCCTCCTTCCGATACAGGGAGGTGGTGGAGAAGGGAGAGCCAGGGACACTGGACAGACCGTGGATTGGCAGCCCAGAGTCAGCAAGATAACACAAGACAGACCCAGTCTGTTATGTTGGTGAATGTTATCAGTTTCCCCAGCTGGGCTGTGGGGGCTTTGGGACGGTCACACTACCCCGGCTGTGTGTGTGTGTGTGTGTGTGTGTGTGTGTGTGTGTGTGTGTGTGTGTG